TAGAGACGGGGTCTTGCTCTTGCTCAGGCTGGTCTCGAACTCCTGAGCTCAAACAATCCACCCACCTCAGCCTCCCAGAGTGCTGGGATTACAGGCCTGAGCCACAGTGCCCGGACGGTTTTTTTAATTCTTCATCATGGTTATACATGATTTCTTTGGAGCTCAAAAATGTCATGTGAATTAAACTAGACACGTCAATCAGTCCTGGGTTTTTCCTGCTATATTTGTGTTATTTTTGCTACACTGGCAGAATATTTAAAAAACCGGAACAGTTCAGTAGACAAGAATCCATGAAATATTTAGAATTATTTCATGTCAAAGATGTCAACTTTCTGAACAGAGTAAGATTTTATGAAAATCTTCCACTTCCTTCTTGGATTTGTAACAGCCAGTAAGAGTAGGCTTGGTAGCTTATTTCAGCCCAAATTTCTGAATAAAAGGGAGCCTCATATTTGTTGTACTATGTTATAGACATCATATTTGACAAATTCCACATTCGTGTCTACTAAATGATAATGTTTCTCTCCTTTTAGGGTTTGTGGATATAGAAACCCCAACATTATTTAAGAGGACCCCAGGGGTATGTATATTCCTTCAACCAGTCTACTCATAACGTCCTGTTAGTTGTAAAACTAGACCGCTTTGCTTTTATGTTTACTTGGACCGCTTTTATTTTTATTTTCTTTTATTTACTGCCTCAGGATGGTCACATTAACTAGGTTTTCTTAAGAATTGAGAAAATGATTTGGATCAGTATTTTGAGTCACAATTTTATTCCATAGGAGTTTTCTTTCCCTTGAGGCTTATAGAAGCAAATCTTTAACGAATTGGTTCCTTAAAAACACATCCCTTGTTCATTAAAAGCTGACATTTGCAAACATTGATATCTATTTATCCAATATATAGACTAATAAAACTACAGTTTAATTTAGAAAAGCAGTTAGGAATAACTTGGATAGGAAATAATGTGCGAAATTTGTTCAGCTAGTAACAGGATTTGGAATTCATTTCAACAAGCATAAATTTAATACCTACTATGTATAAGTGGTATTTAAAGCCTATTATATATAAGCCTTTTTTTGGGACTACAAGATGAGCAAAAGGGGAAGAGGGATGAAGGGAAGGGTAAAAACCTACCTATTGGGTACAAAACATTATTCAGGTGATGGGCACACTAAAAGCCCCAATTTAAGCACTATAAAATGTATCCATATAACAAAAACATTTGTA